TTCTAAGACGCAAGCGAGGAACGAGGTTAGGGTTAGAATGTTGACTTCGGACCGGCGCGTATGGCACAGCATCGAGCGCGTCTTTCTCTGCTCCTCCATGTCGTCCTCCTGCTCCTTCGCCTTCTGACGACATACGAGCCGCCGTGCTCTCATTTTCTTTTCCCCGCCCGCCACTCCCTTCTCATCCTCACCATCCACCAATCCATTAGCTAGCCTTGGCGCATGGTGCTCGCGACCTATGTGTTCCACTTTCTCCAGCTCATACTGTCGATTGGTCGCTGCATACGGCTGAGTTGCCCACCCGCCCTATCGCAGCGCCCTTCGGATACCTCCCATAGGTCAGGGTCCGTACGCCGGGGCCGGGAAGCGCTCCGCGCTTTCTCCCCACTCGACGTATCTTCGCAACATGCTTCTTACCTTACTCAGATACCTTCCTGTCTCCTTCTCAACATCACATACCTACTTATGCTGTGCTAGAGCAAGAATCCAAAGTCCGGTACTTGCGTTCAGAATCTCGTTGTCTTTGTCGCATAGATAGCGTGTCCGGGAGCACGAGCTGAGACCCGATTGTCCTTGCGGCTACTAGAGCGAAAAGTCGACGTTGATGTTGGTGCAATGTTGTTGGGAACCGCTGGAACACCGAACGTGTTGATCATCGCGAAAACAATGTCACGAGGATACATGATGAAGGCGAGAACTCTTACAGGGCGGAGTTCCGTAAGATCTAAGTTCAAGCACTGGAGAGCATATCGAGAGGTCTCTGAACAACGATATGGGCCGGAGAGATGAGAGGTGTTTCTGAGGTGCGCCACTGCCGAAACGTCGCCGAGAGTGCTTACCATTTACGGCTTTGTTTGGCTCAGGCGCCCAGAATTTTTCTACGCGCGACATTCCGGTTTCATATGCAAAACCCTGTAACCTTTCACTCCCTCCCGATTGCTCATCCACGTCGAGCCCTTTTAACCCGAAACCCACAGCTGGTGGCGTAAGGCACCGAGAGGACTGCTGTGGCGTACGGTCGAGTCCAGATAAGGGCACCTGTATATGCAATACTAGCATATTGTCCGTTGTGGGCATCGTTGTTTTCGGGTTCATCGGACTCCGGTATACTGTGTCCAGTTAACAGGCAGGACACCGACCAATGCAATCCCTCTGCCTACCGGCTATGCTTGTTCCATCCTTCTTACTTCTAACGGCGGTGATGTAAAGCCTGCAATGATCGCTGATATCCGTTGACTGTTTCGGACCCGTCTGGGGGAGCCTCAGTATCGCGTATCAACGATGCGGGTTTCCGAAAAGGTTGTCTGCGTGCTGCCCGTTCTTGCCAGAGAATGCGTAGGATCGATGTATTGTGGAGGATGTCCCGTGGCCTTTGCTTTCTGTGCGAGATATATACGGGAAGGAATCAAATCCCCCGGCTTTAACCAGCACTAGAACCAAACGTTTTGTTTCAGAGTTGTCGAGAGGCTGTATGTGGCGGAAACCGATGAGCGCTGACCTCTTGCTGCAAGGGCGTGGAGCGAAGCAGCCCGTCAGAGCCGAGTGTACTCTGTTTCTACTGTCGAACGAGACAGAACGCTGCATCGGAATGGTGATTTACGTGTTTCGTGATTTTGAGGGTGCTATCTGGAAGCCTTTGCGCGTACAATTGGACTCTAACTCATCAATGAAACATGGAATCTGAGCCCCATGGATACGTTGTACCTGTGGGTGCATTGGAGAATGTTGGGGTTATGTCAGGTTCTGCCCCGTTCTGCCCATCCCGTTTATCTTCTGCATACTAACGTCCGGTATCCTAGCCAGTGGTTCAATCTACTTCGAGGATTGATCCATGCCCATACGCCGCCCGGTGATGGGGGATCAGTGCGGACATCATGCTGTCTACAGAACTGTCAGTATTCGAAATCGTTTTTGATAACTGAGAGCTCCAGCAGTGCCTACCTTTGGCAGCGTGTCCGCGTTATTGCCGCTTCTGAACATTCTAATGCACACAATAGGGCATCGGAACAAGCACAATAGCGAGCAGATCTGACAGCGCCGACTCATTGCGCTCAAATCTCTCAGGGGCAGCGTGGTGCCTATAGCTCTTCGTCGATCGCCGCGGTTATCAAACCTCTTGATGTTGTTCTTACCACGGGCGCTGAATTTGCCCATGTACCTAATGCATAGCCTCGTGTCGAGCGACCCTCTGTGCGATATGTATAAGAGGATAATAACTCGGTTTGCTCGCCCCGTTTCACCATCTCACGAACAGTTCCCGCTCTACTAACACTCCTTCCTTGACACCTCTCGCTAGACTATTACTTAGATGGAGGTCACTCCCTGGACGCCGCCATTCGGCTCATCTCACGATAATGACTCGCAGTTAACCATACAAGCTGGCCCAGTGCTACGCATACTTACGTCTGGTGATGAGCTCTATAAAGAATCCGCTGTGACGTCGCCCCCCGCCATGCACCGAGATCACAAATTTTGGCTCCTGTTTCTTGCCATAACGATATCGATGTTTCTTGCTGCGCTCGAGCTGGTTAGTAAAATCTTCCCACTAAATTCATCGAAGACTTCGTCGAAGTAACCATTGACCACCTCATTAGACCGCTGTCTCGACGGCACTTCCTACCATCGCCGCAGCTTTGAATGGCGAGGATTTTGTGTGGATTGGATCCGCCTATACGCTGTGTTCCACGGCATTCGTACCCTTCAGCGGTGGACTTGCGCAGGTATGCCGTATCTCTCTTACTTCTCTGTCACATTGTGTCCTTACCTGAGCACTCGCAGGTGTTCGGTCGGAAACTGGTTATGCTGGGCAGTTTGCTAATCTTCGCTGTGGGAAGCGTCGTCTGTGGTTCAGCCAAGACGATGAACGCACTCATTGGTGGTAGAGGTTTGTGGTTGTGCTTTGCAGTTGTCGTACGTGGTTATTGACGAGTATTCTAAACTGTCTAGCTGTTCAGGGTCTAGGCGGTGGTGGCATTTTGGCGCTCACTCAGATCATCGTGTCCGACATTGTTCCTCTTCATGAGCGAGGGATGTTCAACGGTCTGATCGGAATGTGAGTTTTGGATTTAGCTTCTGATCTCTCGGTCGGCCTTTTCTGACATCAATGCTCTCGTACACAGGGCTTGGGCGGTAGCGTCTACTGTTGGACCTGTTACCGGCGGTGCGTTGTCCAGCAACGGCCAATGGCGGTGGATCTTCTGTAAGATAGATGATATCCCGATGTCGATGTCCGTACAGCCCGCTCATTGCAAACTCTAGACCTCAATATCCCAATAACTGGGCTGGCAGCTACCCTTGTCGTTTTGTTCCTCAAGCTGAAGACACCTGAAGGTACTTTCAAAGAGAAAATCAGCCGTCTTGACTGGATGTAAGTGTTTTACTTCTTCTGCTTTTCTGAGCAACTGTCTCACAGAAACAACAGCGGCAACATCCTCGTGATAGCTGCTACGGCATCGATTGTAGTCTCACTGAGCTGGGCCGGCATTCAACATCCTTGGTCCTCGACTCAAGTTCTTGTGCCTCTAATCCTTGGCCTCCTTGGCCTGGCTGGCTTCCTCTTGTACGAAGCCGTAGTTGCGAAACACTCCATTGTATGTGCATTTGTTTGAGAGATCTGAGAGGTGAAGGTCGTGACACTGATCTTGTGGCCACTCTTTAAAGGTCCCCTTCGGTATTCTGAACAATCGCACCGCTGTTAGCGGGTATCTTCAGACCTTTTTTCTCTATATAGCTGTGATCGGTCTCATCTGTGAGTGCTTCTCGCAGCTAATGTTTTATTATCACAATCCTGATGACTTTTGTGGCAGATTATCTTCCCGTGTATTTCCAGGCATGCAAAGGTGCATCTCCCACCCGAAGCGGCGTTCTGGCTTTCGGTCTTGGACTTAGCGTACCCCCTGCCGCAATCCTCGGCGGCGCCAGCGTAACGCGACTACAAAAATATCGTCCTCAACTGTGGTTGGGCTGGAGTCTCTTGATCACCGGACTGGGTCTCATGAGTACAGTAAATGCTGGGGTCTCCGTCGCGCATACGATCGGATACACAATTATCATGGGTTCAGCGGTGGGAGCTGTCAGCGCCGTGGGATATTTCCCCGTCCTCGCACCGTTACCCGTCTCGGAGAATGCTCGCGCGATGGCCTTCTTCGTCTGCTTGCGCAATTTTGCTCAGGTACGTTGATCCTTGCATTCCTCTATAAATATTCTTTGTTGAAGATATAAAATGACACTAGGTCTGGGGTGTCACGATCGGCGGCACAGTCCTCCAGAACCAGCTTACACAGAACCTCCCCTCCGCCTTCACCTCTCAGCTCCCTCAAGGAACTGCCATCGCTTATGCAGCTATACCCGTCATTGGAGATCTGTCAGAACCTCTACGGTCACAAGTGCGCGTCGCATTCGCTGATGGGTTAATCGTGTTTTGGGAGGTGCTTATCGGGATAGTGGGGCTAGGATTGCTGGCGAGTTTGGCGATGCGGCATCATCCGCTTCACACGAAAACGGACGAGGATTGGGGAATGCGGGCTGCCGGTAAAGAGACAGATGCGGAAAAGACGTCACTCCAGTGAAATTTTGCTATGTATTCTAACCTTGTATTGGCGTCACATTCGTGTCTCACTTAGATTGTAAATTATTGTTGTCGTTGGCAGGTGTTATACCCGCTGGACGACACCGTGACAGAAGAGCACAAATGTGGCGTGAGAATAGTGAGTGGACACAGTCTTGAGTTCACGGACACGTTGCCAACATGTGTCTCTCTATATTTTCTCTTTGTCTTGCAAATGTTGTTCTAGTTTTCGATCCCGCTCGTTTATGACACAAACAATCCCTTCAGGTAGGTACCTAGGAACAAGGGTAAAAAAGCGGAATCTTGGCTTTTTCTGGGCCACAGGGACTTCCTGCGGCGGCGCCCTGTGTTAAAATGGTCCTAATATAAGTATCAAGTGTTCATGGATATGCGGCATGCACCTGCTATTATATGGATGACTTATGAAACCGTAACCTGTAAGTAATAGAGCACGACCAAGAATATTGTGAGGAATTGACGCATGATGCAGGAAGAGTGCAAGTGGGCACGCCACATTTGCGCCACATATCCGTGTCGGAGTTTCCGAGTTCGGCGGATGCCTTGTGGGCTCATATTTGCTCGCGCGTCATCCGACGGCAATTTGCTTCGTGTCGTTTCCATCTCGACAGGCTAACTGACATCTGGCGTATTACGAGCGTCCATCAACCCTTTGTTCGACTAATCTGTGCTCGGGGCATATAGAACAGCAGCTGTCTTGTTGTCTTCTTCGACGTCGTCTGTTCCCGTTCGTCCCGTATCGCGTCCTCAGACAACGTCGGTTCGGCTTCGGCGCCCTTGAGCTCTTTGCTTTCTTTTGTTCAATAGTTTCTGCTCTCGCCTGCTATCAATATGCCACGGCCACGGCCACTATCGGCCCGTTCTGGTTCTTCTGTAGGTGTTCACACTCCGAAGTCTCCGTCCTACATTGATTCTGATGTTTGTTCACCTGCCCTCCCAAACAACAGGACGAGTCGACCATTCAGTTCCCTTCTATCAATGAAAAAGAGTCTCGCAGATCATCTACATCTTCATCCGCTGTAAGTATTGGACTAGTGTAAGATCCTCTTCATGTGCTGATGGACATTACGCTAGTACGACGACTCGGACCGCATCCCATTTCCTTCTTATATGTACCCCTCCGCACCGTGCATCTCGACCAAGTATCCCATATGTCCCCGGAACAAGCTATGCTCACCTGAAGAGCTCCCTGTAACTCCTTACGCTCAACGCTGCTTCGCTAAGTTCCCGGCTCGCATGGGTTACGAATTCCACCTGGGAGACTTCAAGATTAAGAAGAAGGCCTGGTATGGCTACTATTTCGACCCCTACGTACTCGAGACCTACGCTATGCGATTCATCCACGACGAATTCCTCTACTTGTGGAAAGACTCGGACCTCTGGCTCCTGGCCCTCGAGATGCTTGCCGAACAGGCTGGAGTGAGTACCCACATGCAAGCTGAGATCGTTGTCGTCGATATGGATGCGGAGCGGGAGGTTCCGGTTCTCACTCGTGGTGCGGTGATGGAGGCTGTAGGAGAGACGTGCATGATTATTCCATTGTGTGAGAACACACAGTTCAGTATGATGAGGAGGCCGACGCAGAAGCAGCTCGATTTTATGACGGAGGTTTTGGGGCATACGCCGAGGTGGTGGGAGGCTACGGATTATGTGCATCGTCCGAAGCAGCCCGAGGTCGACTGAGTAACGATGTTATGGCCCAGGTGAGCCCTCTACTTTGATTTGTATTGCTGTGGTATTGACGAGGCAATCATTTGCTAGATGTTGTCATCCCACTATCTCTTGCAATGCTGTCCGACCATGCTCTACTCGCGCTCTTCTTGACGCTCTCACTGTTGTTATTGCCGTATTCCTATGCTTTCCCTTGCTCTGTACATTACCGACACCTCTATGGAGCCATATAATCGACATATGAATGTACAAATTATCATGATTCAGAGTCACCTTCCAAATCTTCCTTTTTGTGTGTGTGTAACATCTCCGGGCAGCAAACGCGAATGGCAGCCCTGCCGCGAGTCATAGCCGGTTGTGAGGGTTTTCCTGCAAGGTCAAGTCTGTGACTAGCCTGCTGCCAGTCAATCAAGCCATCTACCAACGTTCAATTAATGCTCGGGGAAACAGACACTCAAATCCGACGCGCATCTGACCGTTTAACCATGCACTTGTAGGCAGAAAAATCGCTAGCTACACGGTCCATCATGGGTGGATGACTCACTCCATTCGTTGATAGAGCAGTCATTACCCTTGCTTATGCTCGACATCGTTAGCTTCGACCTCGCACACCATATCCAGCGACGAAATACTTAATCTTAACCATGCTATGTAACGCCAAATACCAGCCTCGCCTCTTGTGGGGACACCTCTACCATCATATATCTACGACCTACAACTTGTTCAATGCCCTGTTCTCATCTAATCACTACCCTTTAAAACTCTCAGCCTCTCCTTCAACTCCTTCTTCATCCCGTTATAGTTTCCTTCAGGCCTTGGCTCCGGCCAGGCCGTCGGCTTCCCAAACGGCATCTGCGCAATAAGTTTCCAGCTCGATGGGATGTTCCACCCTGGTTCCGAAGTGAGAAGCGAGTCGACGAGTGGATTATAATGTTGCAAAGAGGCTCCTGTGCATGTCCCAATACCCATAGTGTCAAGTCAGCATGAGCGAGCTCTCATGTCAGACGTTTGGTTGAGGGGGAAGACGTTGATGGCGAGGAGAATGACGAGATGGACTAACCGAGTCCTTCGGCCTCTAAAGCCGTCCATACAACGAACTGATGCATAGCGTTCGTATGTTCAGACCATTGTGGGAACTTATCGTAGTATGATGGGAACTTGGCCTGTAGGATCTGTGTGTTCTCTGGGTCTTCGTAAAATAATATCTATGTTTGGGCATCCAATAGCAGAGGGGAGTCAAGGAAAACCCGTATGTATGTAAACAAGGGCACGAGTGATTCCCCAAACTCGAATTACTCGACACACTGGGAGTGTCTCATACTGGATAAAAGAGGATGCAGCACTCACGGTCCCATAAGCCCCTCTAAACCCATCAATTTTCTTCCTCGTCTCCTCCCAATCTTTCTCATCCCCTCCTTTTTCATCAAACTTGGCCCTCAATACCCGCTCCACCAAATCCCACATCCTCACCTGTGCCCCTCCTGCCTTCGTGCTCACCGTCCCCACCTTCCCATTCTCTCCAACTTTAGACGAGGACCCATCTGAACCCCTCAGGAGCAGAACGAGCCTAGTTGTGAAACTCCCAAACGCCGCTGGCGTCTTTTCCAGCGCCTGTTCCAGTATGGAGACGAGATGTGTGTCAGAGATGGTGCTGCTGTTGGAGAGGGTGTATACGGAGCGACGGTGGGCGACCGCATTCAAGAATGGCGTAGAGGAGGATTCGGAGGAGGAGGATGTGGCTGTGAGTGTGGAGGGCGACGAGGAGATGAGGGGTCGTAGGATCAGGCCGAGGATGAGAGCCATAAGTGTTGGGAGAAGAGCGGATAAGCGAGGCATCGTTAACGTTGGACTGTTTGCCCGTTCAACGGAGAGTCCTCAGGTATAGGCTTTCCACACGAGTCGGGGTGGAATATAATGTGAACTCGTCTAGCAATGAGCTCTGGAGGCTAATTCGGTGGCAAGAGCTCGAACAGCGTCGAAACCGTCCCAAAGAACTTCGTATCTGAGCACAACTGCTGTAGAAGTTAGATTGTGTCGCACGATACGGAAAGCGTGATGATGAAGGTATAACGCAGAGAGGATGACAAGGAGTAGTAATCCAGATCGTCTTGCCGCAGTGACGTGTCTTTATTGTTTACACATCAGCTCGTTCTCAAAGCATGTCAGTAGATCGCCCATGGAACTCACACAGACAACCGGAGCCCTGGACTCGGACTGAGAGGGCTAATGAGAACGGCGAAGTAAGAGTGTGTCCGTGAGACAAGCTGTGAACAGACAGGATCGGAAGCGTTGGCCTCGAAGGACAGGGCGTTTTAAAAATAGTGCCTGTCGGGTGCCACAGTTCACGCCACACGGTAGTGGGAGTTCATGATCACTGAGTTGGGGTAGGCTCAGCTCGCGTGAGCGCAACAGTGACTAGGAGTATGTAAGTATAATAGCACCTCCACCACGACTCTACTAAAACGCTCTCTGCTATCGCCCACCCTACGTAGACGGCCCGTATGTACCAGCCATCCACGCGACCGACGGCTGCGTCTGATAACTACCCCACAGAGCTGACGCTATAGTAGCCCGCCATGACAGCCAATCACTCTGTGATCCTCTCCTTGATCACCCAAGGAAGCTTGTACCAGAACCTCCTCTCAAAAACGAGATGTTCCACCACCTCCTTCGGCTCCGTCTGAGACATGCTCTCCACTATTTTGTTGTTCCTGTCGTATACGCGCAGCGTCTATAACCAACCACGACCACTCCATCAATACACACACAGATTCGCGCACAACAAAGAGTCGAGAGTCAGGGAATGAGAATGAAAACCTCACGACGCACCTGCATCGACCTGAAAGTGACCAACGCGTTCACCAAATACCGATTGCCAAACGCCGGCTCCCGAGCCCCAAGATGTCCCGTGACGGTCCTGATGCTCTGCACTTTCACCGGCTTCTTCATCTCATGCAGCTTCCACTCGAACCTGTACGGCCTCCCATCGTCTGCTTCAGTCACAGATGGGGGAGGACGTGAGCGTGCGGATCCGGAGGGGGCTCGGGTGCGGGATTGTATGGGGCGGAGGGGTTTGGGGACGGTGTGATAGGCGCGGAGACGTGCGAGCGAGGATTCGAGGAATTCGTCTCGAGTGAGAGATCGGAGGGTCAGGGTGTCGCCTCTAGATGATATTCAGAGATCAGAGTTTGTGAGAAACGCGCATGAGATGTGAATATAATGACAAGGAAATCAGATACGCACGTTGCGATGGCGGTGTTAACTTTGACATAGGTGTCGAGGAGCTCGGTACGGAGAGGGGCGAGCCATGATTTTGAACTGGTAGACTGAGTTCCGAACACCCGCGGAGACCATTTTGAGAGTCCGGATTGATTTGGAACACAACGCTCTTCCGCCAGAGTTCTTAGTCTGTGTACATTCACAAACAGTCGGTCAGACCACAGCTATACCTCGTAGGTAGTACGGTAAAGAGGAGAGAGACTTACGCCACAGCATTTTTGAGGTAGTTCCGAACTCGCTCGGTGAAGAACGAAGCCCATGCGAAGGGCGATACGCTTCGAGGGACTGGTTCCGGAAGCTGGACGTCTTTTCTTTGCAAAAAACAAGTAACATATGAATGATTGTGAATATCTATCTGAAGCAAGTTCAAGAGAAATTTGAGAGACGAACCTAACGTGTCCATCTTACTGGCCCACATGTCAATTTGGACTCTATCCTCGTTAGCTAGGACCCTCTGCATCTGTCGAAGCTGCTCCTCCTCATCCATTTCTTCCGCTGCGAGCTTCGCTTCCCTCTTAGCGAACGTCTGCTTCGGCTGCCTCATCGTCGACGCTGACCGTGTTTGGCCAAGTGTAGCATGATGAGGTGTTCGTGTAGGCAATGCCGGACGGGCGGTATGAAGACGTGAGCGAGATGAAGGTAAAGATGATGCTGATGACGAAGACGAAGACGAGGATTGCTGTGAGAGTGCAAAAGAATGTGGGTGGGTGGAGGAAGATGAGAGAGACCAGATGAGAGATGAAAGTGCAGGCGAGCGATGATGTGGTCGGGGAAGAGGAGGCCTAGTCGCCCGATGAAGGAGAGTCTGCAACGTCTGCTCCATTATTTTATTTCTCTGCCTGGGGTCGTCGTGCGTGCCGTCGAGCCAACGCGTCCGCCGCAAAAGATTCGAGCGCGACTTGGCAATTGACGGAACTCGCGAAAGTTCCTTCACTCGGGCAGACCCGGACCGCTGCCGAGCGTGCGCGTTCGGACGCGTTTGATTGGTCAGCCAGCCTCCGGGGTATAAATTGGTCCATTTCATCTCCTTTTTCCTCTCCACGTCGTTCTTACTTACGCGCACCTCACACCATGGCTGTCAGTCCATTTTCCTCTACATTTCTTTCATTATTTGCTCATCGTCTCCGTTGTCTTTGCCGTTGTTAGCGTTCATCCCGCTCCTCCCGTCCCGCTGCTCGCCCAGCTGCACCCGCCTCCTCTCGCAGCGCATCCACCGCCGCATACCCCAGCGCCGCCTCTTCCCAGCGTGCACCTCCAGCACCTGCACCCCCAGCACACAATGCTTCCCATCCCCAGGCTGCTGCTCCTGCTCAGGCTAGCCAGCCAGGAATGATCGCCCAAATGGCCGCTACAGCCGGTTCGGTCGCCGTAGGCTCTACCATCGGTCATGGACTCTCGAGCATGCTCTTCGGTGGTCGTTCGGAGGCCGCACCCGCACCTGCTCCTGAAGCCGCGGCACCTGTCAACCAGAACAACGGGTTTGCGAGGGGAGTAAGCTGTGAGAACCAGGCGAAGGAGTTCACGCTGTGCTTGGAGAAGGCGCCATATGAGAGCTGCACGTACTATCTTGAGCAGCTCAAGGCTGTAAGTCACCGTTTCTTTCGCATCCTTTTTGCGATTGGATGTGCTGATTGTGTTTTGTGGAATATAGTGCCAGGCTGCTGCTGCCCCTTACTAGATGTTCGCGCAATAATTTACCTATCCTACCGGAATAGTGCTTGGTAGAAGGAGGGATGTGTCGTTCAGCATGGACATGTACATGCAAACCCCGTTGATGTTACTTGAGGGTGTAGTACCGTTCATTCCCGGGAAACCGACCGAATACACATTCAATAATAAACTTGGCCAATCCTCTAACATCTGCTCTCAACATACTTCAACCAGTCAACCCAGTCTGCGTCTCTTTCTCCGTTTGTTTCTCCCTTTCAACCTCATCCGCCATCTCTCCCAATGTCGAAAACCTCCACCCCCACCTCGTCCCTTCCTCCAAATCTTTCCCAATTCCCATAATCGCCCCCTCCCTATCAATCCACGCCCCTCCATGCAACCCAATCTTATTCGCCGGTCCATGATCATGATATAACGACTGCGCCGTCACCAACACATACTCCTTCACATCCTCTCCCTCCCCCAACTCCACAAGCCCCGCAATCTCCTTCAACGCCCTTTCAAAGCCAAGTGGCGAAGGCTTATAAGCACCGGTATCTTGAGCCGTCAAGATGAGAGTGAACGGTGAACGGAGTTGTCCCGATGAAGGGTCGGTGTACGAAAGTGCCTTGAGCGTCCCGGAGAAACTTTGCCGGTCTACGTTCGAGAGGACGACGAGTTTGTAGGTCTTGGAGAGTGTGTGGAGAGCGGAGACTGTGTCGGGGAAGACGGGCCATGAAGGGATGCTTTGTCCGAATGATTTTGCCTGTTCTTCTATGTCTGTGTCTATCGAGTGTGATTGTGAGAGATCGCGCGCAAGGACGCGATATGATTCAGCGAGGAGGTCGGAGTAGAGCATCGAGGGATGGGCTTCTTGGAGGGATTTCTCGACTGCTGTGTATCGCGCGAGGATATATTCTCTCGATAGAGCGTCTGATGAGGAAAGGGAGCGTTGGAAGAGAGGTAAGAGGGCATCGTATATCCCTGTTTCCCAATCGATGAGAGTGCCGTAGACGTCGAAGAGGAGGGCTTTGAATGAAGTGAGTGGGCGATTGGATGTGGATTGTGGTCGGGTGGCCATGTTGATGTTTAAGCTGGTGGGTCTACTAGCGTACGGGTAGGAGCAAGGTCGTGGTGGAATCTTGGAGACTAAGTTTTGTGCCATATAAAGTGATGTTGGTCATGCAATGATTGCAGGGGCCGTGTGGCGCGATGCCACTCACTGTACAAGCCTCTAGTGTGCCGCCCATTCACCACAAATTCGCTTGGCCTAAAAAAGAAAACGAGATATGCTCAAATCATAGTGGGCCTTGGGATTTTCCCAAGGATAACTCAAGGACCTACTGGGCCTTAGAGGAAGGTGAAAGGGACTCTCATGGCGCCGGATACAGATTTCCAACAGATTTCTGCACGGGCAGAACCGAAACCAAATGCGTTCCGCAAGATACAAGCTCGTCTGGACAAAGGCAATACAGTATAGGTTCTGATACGGCATAATTTAATCTTCATTCATTTCTGTGAAGAGGATCATCATCCTGTGCCGTGTTTGCATGAGCAAGTTGTGGCACCTCCGGCGAATGCCGGGTGGGGAAAACAATGTCTTTTTGACCCTCACCGCGTCGCGTCGCGTCGATGGTCTTTGAACTCTCATCTCTCCATACACCATGAGCTCTCCGTGTGGACACCGTACTTATGTCCCAGGCGATTGCGCTTCATGTGACTGCAATGCGGCCATGATTCGTGCCGAACGTGATCCTGACACTGCCGTTCGCCAACTCGAAGCGTCCTGTGCCACCAGGCCAAACAATCCGCTACTCCTCGCAATCGCGAACATTTCCGTGTTCGAGCCTCGGATATATCAAGCTGGAGCCCACAAGATCTTTATCAAGTATGCTCTAGGCCAATACCCCTCGGAAAGATTCCATAACGAGCCTCACCCAGTCAATCCCCTCATGACGATCTCAAGGCGTAGATGGGAGACTCCTGTGCTCGGTCTCTACAATATTCTTGCTCACATCGGCGCTTCCGGGTCTCGCGATGGGGGTGCTGTCGCACGAGAAATCCGCGACTCTTATTCGGCTATCTCTGCGGTCATCTCTCGCGACCTGCCTCAACTGCTCCCGCCCGGATTTGTTGCAAACACACGAAGGGACCTCGTTGCGGGCTTTATGGGGTCCGTTTTCGCGGATCCGCGATATTCCAGGTAAAGCCTATTATATTGACCCTCATCTCAGCGATTTTAGTGTTTGCCGTACTGATGAGCATACTCTCAGGTCTATGTACGACGAGACGTCGCTCTCTCTCGCCATGCACTGCTGGCTATATATGTCTTCAGAGCCTCCCAGTAATGATGCCCCTCCCAAGCAATACAACGACCCCTACCAACTATTGCGAGTCCTCCTGACGAACGGAGCTATCCATGCGGTCAGGCCCAACGACGCTGTAAAGCGGGCCATGGAGCTGGTGGAAATCGACACTATCATCTCCTGCGTAGGAAGCAGGATCTCCGACGCCAACACGCTCGCAGAGACTCTGAAGAGCGATTTGACTTTCGTTTCGCTTTTCCTCGGTGTTGATGAGGCAACAGCCTTGGCCTTTGCACATGCCCGCTTCTACGAGACGATGGCGGAGGGTGTCTGTCGGCAACTCTCCACCGGTGTTACCAGCGAAACGCGACAAATCAACAAGATGTCCGGATCCATTATGAAGTTTGTGATCTTCCTCTTCTCAATATCCTCGTATACGTTGCTGCGAGACTCATTGTCTTGCACCTCTCAGCGTTTTCTTTGCTCTTCCAAATGCAAGATCAATGATCACAGAGTCTCCCAAAGTCCTCGCGATGGCCTGTCTCGGACTTGTCACCGCTGAACGAGACGACTCTGGTAACAATCTCCGAAAGCTTTACGCGCATCATTACAAATGCTAACGCTGAAAACAGATCCTTGGTTTCTATTCTTCGGGAGGCTCTCTAGCATGCTTGACTTCGACAATCAACCAGCTTCACAGCCCTCTCCCTTCACCAAAGCCTGCCGCACCCAAATGGAGCATCTCTACATCCGCACGGCCACCCCTTTGCGCGCCCTTGGACCGACCGGCGCCGCAAGATTGAAGGTCATCGACGCGTTGGCCGCCAAGGTACAACTCGCCGGCGACGCGTCCATCTACGCAAAATGGAAGCGTAACAAGGAATGCTCCAGTGCGTATTGCGACTTGAGGAATGTGGAACAGATTGGTGGTATGAGGAAGTGTCAGAGATGCGCTTCTGTCGTGTATCACGGTCCTGCGTGCCAGAAATCGTACGTCTTTTATTCATATGGGACAAGCGATGATATGCGTCCAGAGCTAAAATGTGGGTTGTACTGTGTCTAGGGACTGGAAGCGACACAAGCTCGAATGTAAAAAATGATTAATGGGCGACCTTTGGTTCTAGTTCTACGGAGGGTAGTGGCAGAAATCCATGTTGTAAAATAGTAGCTCATGCCCATGTAACAATTTCCGTAATTGTGAGGGTGTGTAATTGTGGCCCATAGGAGCTTCAGAATACTACGCCTTCATAATGCTCTCTGAATGTAATGAAATACGAAGGAAGCGAACCGGTTGAGCCAGAGAAACAGAAACATCAGTGTAAATAGTTGAACGCATAGCGAGGATCAAATTTGGCTACAATCTATGGTAGACGAAGCTAAAAAGGCCTTTGTATAACGAGGCCAAGGACGACGACCAAAGCTGATTCACCGTGACCACCATGATAAGTTATTACGAGCCTTGGGCTCGATGCGCAAAGAATCAAACCCGTAGTTTGGTACTGCGCATTGACCTGGCTTGGCTGAGACGTAGCGGATTGTCGAACCCGCTCACAAAATCCATCCGTACCACGGAACTCCTCTCAGCAAATTTGCGGGGGTTCCTCCGATACGTGCAGCATCCATGATTGAATGGACTCAAACCAAACAGTCACAAAGGTATATCATTAGGCAGTCATGAGTACAACAAGAGGGAAGAAAGCTTCGCCAACAGCAACATAGCAAATACCACGTCCGCATTATTCATGCACGCCGGGTCTCAGCGACTCGAAAGCCGCCAGCGAAGAAAGCGGTAGGACTGCTTCAAGCCGAAAGGGTAGCCTCTGCGGCAACGGTAACATCGGGTAATCATCCTCGTGCTCGTTGGGTTCCGGAATGCGGATGCCCCGGAAACCACAGCATAGACGATGTTCGGGCCAATCTCTGAAAAGGGGCCGAAAGGGAGATGTCAAGTCAGTATGGTGGCGTTAGCCACTTCGTGGCAAGCCTTGTGCCATGGAACCATTTCCTGAATGGAACACTCATTCGGGGGTTTCATGACTTATTGTTGCATATACAGAACCCTAGGGATGATATCTAGACAATGGTCGGAGCACTTTTTAAAAATTCTCCGGGGGGGATTTTGTCAGAGAAATTTCGCCGTTTGTCACATCACGTGCGCGTGACATTCCCATATTTGGAATGCAATGTCACCACTACGATCTCTGCCGCTCGCCACTGTGGCCCGGTGACAGCCTTGAACCTTCTTGCAACGGTGTTTGAAGGCTCGTGGAGTAAGATTCTCGTGATTCTACAGTTACTTAGAGTCAGATGGGTGTCATTTGCATGATATCTCCCTGGTACCAATAGGGACTGGTGCAGTGCCTTGACGAGAATTTCGCCGCTTGATTAAGGTTAGGGTTAGGAAATTCCCCTGACTTCGGAATGGCAGATTTACTCTGGAATGGGGGTTTCTGAACCCAGAAATCCTATTTTTGAGTCAAGAAAAATTTGAATGCGGCGTGACATGAAGTGGCTAACGCCACCATACGTATCAGCCTACATCCTCTTCGACAAAAATTAGGAGATATGGAAACATGGGAGACTGGTACGCACTTCGACTGGCATTCGGCCCCACAATATCCCACGCTTTTACATGCTCTGCATCTCCAAACCCGTCGATTCCGGCATCCCCGTCTCGAGCATTGACGGTCGATGGAAGCTAACTGTTCGAGATGATAGACGAGGATCCACATCCAATATAGCGGTTTGTAATATGTAGGGTCATGTCCATGCAATTCACGCGAAAGAAAGTCCTTGTGAAGAAACGTCATGTCGAGACAGGTTCGCAAAAAACGTGGACGTGGAAAGTGGGGGCGGGTGATGGAGAGGAGGGATGGAGTGTTCTTGACGATTTGGAAGATTTTACTGAAAACGACGGCCACCAAAGCTACGTGTTATAAGTGATTGATTCCCGAGTCAGACGTAGGGAAACCCGAAGAATGCAGAACGCTGACACGAGAGAATTGGATGGTGGATGGAGCACTTACCGTATACGCGTGTGACATCTCGTCCATGTTGAGTCAGTGCCAATTCCAGCGCACTGAAGACATCCAAACGAAACCAAGTACGCATAAGGTCGCGTTCGTTGGTATTTTCTGCACATATTCTCATCAGGATGAGTATGGGCACTATTGCACGATCCGGCGTGTCCCCGCATTCCTTCAAGTCATCTCCAGAGGTCCTCAATATCTTAAATAGTAGTTCAAAAGCGATGGTATGATTGGCCAGATCATGGAGGAAGTCTCTGTCGGATGGAGAGACCCACGAAGCGTGTTCGATGAGTGCGCACAGCAGTTCAGTGCAGTAGTTGATGTTGTTGCCGCAGATTTTACTGAAGTAGTGCGTGAAGAAGGAGGCGAACGATCGGCCAGGGATTCCGCGTTGCATGCGAGCAATGATATCTGGGGGTCGTGGGTGCTCCAGGCGATAGGCAAACATGAGCCTGAGTGTCGGGGGTACTGGGTCGATGAGGGCTGTTAATGCCAAGACACATTTGTTGAAATCTAGGTATGCCACGGAATGCATGAGACAACGCATCAGAAAAGAGATGGTGAGATCGTTAGGCGCATCCACGGTTCTATGTATATTAGCGTCAGACGGGCAAGGGTATGGTCGTCATAAAAAGAGAGTTAGACTGACCGTGCGAAGTCCGGATGTATCACAAGAATATTTATGAGTACGTCCGAGAAGCTGGCACGCTCTCCTGCATACATTTCGACTGGTTTCATCATGTTGCAAGGGTCATTCTCAAGCTGGCGTAAACACATCAGCGTGAGCGCTCAGCATGAGCGGGGAACAAACTTGCCCGAAGAACTAATTCATTCCAGTTTCGCTCTAGAGAATGAAGACATAGATCCTTGGTTGGAGAAGGAAACTGCTTGATGTGGACAACTACTAGCGCTAACAGCTCCAAAAATAGTGCAAAATCCGAGGGTTTCTATGACAGGTAGTGCACTATCAGCTTTACCACCAAACAGAGCAAGAACAAGCAGAGCCGATACTCACATCTTCGTCGTAAACCATGTGCCATGGCCACGAGCCACTATAGGCTTTGACCACACATCGACACATGGCGTCCGTCATACCTGCTTCTATCAGCCGCCCCCACCGAACAGAGGGATGTCCTTGCACCATGGTGTTGCGTACAGCAAGGATTAAGCTGGTAACGTTCTTAGCACCAGTTGTCAGTACACGAAGAATATAACATATTTGGTATGTACCAGCTACCTACCTCAGAGCCAAACGGACTTTCCAACCAACTCTCCGAGTCCGTAGTGTCAAACATTGTATTGAAGATATCCACAATACGAGCTGGATTCTCGTCGATGTCATTTGTCCAGTACGCTTTGGAGTGTGGCATATCTAGTTGACAACCACGCTGAATCGCGTCGGTATAAGTGAAAAAGGTCAATGCGTCGCAGTAAGAAACGAGACGAATGTACAAGATGAGACAAGATGCGAACTGCGTTCCTGGGATGACCTCGGGAAAAGCCGGCGCCACCTTAAGACACAAAAGCGACACCCTCACGTGACTCCTCCCGCCAGTTTTGCGCTAATCGCCAACCAACAAGTTGTTTTAAAAATTATTCTCAACAACTCTACGGTTACCTATTTTGCGAAACGTGTCTCAAAAAAGTGGGATCTGACGCTCAAGTTTCCCCCGACAAAATTTGGCTGGCAGAGCGTCACGTGAGTGTGTCGCTTTTGAACGACCTCTGTCTTAAATCACCGTCGTCGGTCACCATGTTCGTCCGGCGTCTTGACGAGGAGCGTCGGAGAGAGCTACAAGGGTTCTGGCAACGCACACGAGTATAAATTTATCATGTTCCTTAGACCAAACCAGACTAAGAGAAAGAAAACGCTGAAAAAAACACAGAGTAACGTCGAGAACTATTGCTGTTTGACGATGCGCTCAAGATGGGACTGCACTGCGCGCTGAGTACCCGACATATAATATCTGATGAGCAGTTAGGTGTCCTTGTAGGGAGGGAGTTGAAAGAGAGTTGGGCCACAATGACGTTTCTAAATTGAAGCGCCGCCTATTCCCGAAGGCACGCGGGGCTCTGCGCGTCGTCGTCCGTGCTCGACCTCGTCCTTTTCCTGCCGAACATCCATCCAACCGTCCCGTATTCACCAGCATCAACTGTCAACAACAAACAATCCTCTAACTCTCTCGATTTTACCTGGGTCTTCATCATACTCAACCAAGCTTTTTAGCAGCCCAAGCCACCTAAATTTTGCCCACACGAGCCCGAACAAAGATCACATCTGTGGTTGGCGTACCCCAAATCATACACAGTCCTCTCGTCTTCCGTCCAATCCATCGTGTCTCGTGTCATATCGGTCTCCATCTGTCTGAAGCCAGAATTCATCTCCGCTTAAATCTCTCAAACACCACCTTCTCACATCACTCACCCTTGTTCTCGTTTTTCTGACCACCACCCCAACCTCACCCTCAACCAACATCGTCCCCAATGTCTCAACCAGCAACCCAACAACAAGCAACACCATCAACATCATCCTCGTGAGCTCTATGTGCTCTCCTTCAACGGTCTTAGTTACTAATTCCCATTTCTGTTCGTACAGACAGAATGGCAACTGGCGCGCCGGTCTTCGTCCACCACCCCGCGATGACCGACCGCAAACCGAAGATGTGAAAGCTCTCAAGGGCATCGAATTCGAGGACATGTTCCTCCGCCGTGAACTCCTCATGGGAATTTTCGAAGCCGGTTTCGAAAGACCCTCCCCCATCCAAGAAGAAGCCATCCCCATCGCCCTCGCCAAACGCGACGTCCTCGCCCGCGCCAAAAACGGCACGGGCAAGACCGCGGCCTTCGTCATCCCATCCCTCCAACAAGTAGACGTTAGTAGGAACAAGATCCAGGCACTCCTCCTCGTACCCACCCGTGAGCTCGCGCTTCAGACGAGCCAGGTCTGTAAGATTTTGGGAAAGCATATGGGCGTGCAGGTCATGGTGACCACCGGTGGTACGACGCTGAAAGACGATATTATGAGGTTGGCAGAGACAGTGCACGTGCTGGTGGGTACGCCTGGTCGTATATTGGACTTGGCGGGGAAGAATGTGGCGGATTTGAGCGAGTGTCCGGTCTTCGTGATGGACGAGGCAGATAAGCTGCTATCGCCCGAGTTTTCGCCTGTGATGGAGCAATTGTTGGCGTATCTTCCAAAGGAACGTCAAGTCATGCTCTTCTCTGCCACTTTCCCCCTCATCGTCAAGGATTTCAAGGTAGGCGTCGTCTTCGTTGGTTGATGTTGGGTCTTCTGACGTGTTCTTTTTATAGGATAAGCACATGAAGTCCCCCTACGAGATCAACCTCATGGAAGAACTTACACTACGTGGTGTCACCCAGTACTATGCCTTCGTCGAAGAACGGCAAAAAGTGCATTGCCTAAATACCCTATTCTCCAAGGTTGGTGCTGGGCTCTTGACCTCCCTCTGCTACGTTTCCTGAATATTCTTCGAACCCGTCCTATAGCTCCAAATCAACCAGTCCATCATCTTCTGCAACTCGACCAATCGTGTCGAACTCCTCGCTAAAAAAGTGACCGAGCTCGGCTACTCCTGTTTCTACTCGCACGCCAAAATGCTTCAATCACACCGGAACAGGGTCTTCCACGACTTCCGCAACGGTGTCTGCCGGAACCTCGTCTGCTCTGACCTTCTCACTCGCGGTATCGATATTCAAGCCGTGAACGTCGTCATCAACTTTGACTTCCCCAAAAACTCAGAGACTTACCTCCACCGTATCGGTCGTTCGGGACGATTCGGACATCTCGGTCTCGCGATTAATCTGGTCACGTATGAGGACAGGTTCAACTTGTACAAGATCGAGCAGGAGCTGGGGACGGAGATTCAGCCCATTCCGCAGACGATTGATAAAGGGCTATATGTGGCGCCGGGTGCGACGGCGGACGAGACATCGAGGGCAGGACAAAAGACGGGCCAGCCGCAGGCGCAACAACAACAGCAACCACAACCGACGGCCGGGCCACCTCAGCAGCAGCAGCAGCAGGGAGTGTTGTCGCCTCAGCAGGTGGCTGCTCAGAGGGCGCAGGCAGCGGCTCAAGCTCAGGCTCAAGCTCAGGCTAGGCAGGCGGCTCAGCAGCAGCAGCAGCAGCAGGCGGTGTACCAGACGAATGGACAGGCGGGGAGGCCTAATGGACAGGCAGTTCAAGCGGCCGGGAATAGGCAGTCGTATCCTGCGGGTGCGAATGCAGGGTACAGGGGCCAGGTCCCTGTTACTCAGCGATGAGAAGGGTGGGTTCGGCGTTGAGGCCAAAGAAAGATACGGTGATTGTTGTCGTCGTCGACGAATCGTTGAGCAGTGTTGTCCAGTCAGTGCAGGGGAGAGGAGCTGAGGAGGGCTGATTGTTTGTGGTGTGTTGCCGATGAGGTCGGCATGCTTTCGTTCATTCAACTTCCTTTCTCGTTATAGCATCATCTCGAAGAGTTTTTCCATTCGTCTTTTTCATGTGCGCTGTTCTGTTTATACCGGTACCCTAGCCCTCGCCTCGGCTTTTACACTCCCAAACGCTCAAGACATCTCGTTCTCGTTACCAGCTGTGGACTTCCGCATCTACCCTCTTGTCCAATCTCCTTTACCCTGCCTCATCCAACACCCTTTCCAAGCTTAACTCCTGGTTGCTATATTGTACTACAATGATCAATCTCCAACATAACTCAACCGCATCGACACCTCTCTCGCCATCTTTACTACTCTCGAGTGTAACTGCTGGTATTCAGATTCGGATTCCCCATTTTTGTTCCTTTCCTTCCCTTTTTGTTTGAATTCGAATTTGCTCTCGTATCTCTCTTTCTTCATTCCATCCAACCAACCGTCCGTCCATCCAATTCTTATTATCTCGACTTGCTCTTGCTGTCGTTTCTTCCTCTTTATATCCGCTGTCCTTGCCCCCCACCCTCCAACGTTACGAATAACCTGACTCGGCCTACTGATTGCCACACCCAAACTTCCTCCACACTCCACATCCCTTTGACCGCATCGACGTTCTCACCGGACTAGTACGGTTCATTGACATCTTGACTCAGATTGATACTTGTTCCCAACTTACTGTATATCCTTACCGTAAGGTCCCATTCTGAAATCCCTTCTACCCACTCCTCCACCCCTTCGCCCACACCTACCTCCTCTTCCACTCCGTCACCTACCTACCCCTGTTCCACCCCGTCGTCTACCTCTTGTCCCCCCTCGTCGCCTACCTTATGTCTCATCCCGCCGCCGACGTACCCTTTACACCCCTCCTACATCCTTTGTCCGTCCGGGCTCTTTGTTGTTGTTGCTGTTGTCGCGTTGGTGCGAAAGTTCATGAAATGATGCATGCCTGCGTGGCACGTGTGGCGCTATTTTTGGGTTGCGAGCTAAGAGCCTCCGAAATTCGTGTGACCCATCAAGGATTGCAGCCGGTTCATGATTTTGAACATACAGTTCTTTTCGTATGAGTACTTCGCGAGCGACTTGGACCTACGCAGTACTCAGTCTCGCAAAATGTAAGAAAATGAGGACCGCGAACGACAACGCGTGGCGTCCATCTGCAGCTCGGTGGCAATTGCCGGCGAAGCGAGCCACACATGCAAGACGCGCTTCGGGAGACGACAGTTCGTGATTCGTGGTTTCATTGGCGTCGGACGCTCATCCTCTCCTGCCTCTTATACCTTATGCTCGACCTATTCTGCTAGCTGAACGATATCTGAGGAATTTCTTCAAGCGTACAACCATCAGAGGTCAATAGCCACGCCCAATATCCCGACAAATCTCAGCGACCTCTTCACTTTACGGGCCTCAACCAAACCCGACAGTACGGGAGGCTATTCCACGCTCAAATATCCACCTGGAGATCTTTGTCGACGCACATCCGGATTCGTTGGCTCTCCGAAGACTAGCTTAAGAGAGCGCAAAGCGTCACCGTGAGCGACAGCCATGTCCCGAGGCGAATACTCACGATTGCCAATGTACGCCACATCCAGCTCCTCCTCGTCCACACCCCGTCTCCGCTCATCCTCCTCCACATCCACTTTCAAATCTAAATCACCATCGTTGACGACGGCCACTACGTCTCCGATAACCGATATTTTCCATCGACAACTCACGCCCTCGCCTTCATCGCCATCTTCACCACCGCCACCCTTCTCATCACGACGACACCGGGATCATGATCATGACCGTGACCACGACCGACGGCGGTTCAGGTGGAACCGAGCGACTGCACAATCACAATCAATAACGAACACGCTACAATCACTCCTCCGACCCCGCGTCATCTTGTCCATCGTCAAAGTCGTCGTCCCATTACTCGTCACAGTCGTATTCGTGAGCTTATTGATATGGGAGCCTCACATCGAGCTCGCGTTCTACGAAAAAGCATGGATACAGAAGGAGATTCTACCCGTAGGATCTCTAGGAGGTTGTTTTGACGAAGGGAGGGTGAGCGAGCGGTATAATGTTAGTAGGAACATCTATGGTCCGAAGACGAACGAGGTGCAGGCGGGCGTGTCCTTGAAGCTCGGGATGGACTGTTACGATTTCGCAGGGACAGTACGGTCGAGCCCTTCCTCTCCATCGAGGTTCGAGACCGGTCAAGAAGGAAGGACGCATTTCCATTCGTATTGGAGGACGGACCTAGCGCCGTTCGGGGAACGACAGGCACATATGCTCAAGTCGTTTTTCGCTACTCAGCCGCTGGAGAGGTCGAAGCTTGTGCTGTGGTCGAACGGACCGCTGTCACCGTCGGAAAAACCGAATCGGATATTGGACGATTTTCTGAACAGGTATCCGGAGTCTTTAGAGTTGAGGGTGGCGGATGTGAGGGAGTTGGCGGTTGGGACGGAATTGGAGGGCAGTGAGTTGTTGAGGAGTAGTGATGAGAAGGCGTGGACGGACGGTGACCTTATTCGGTTGTTGGTCGTGTGGAAGGACGGAGGGGTTTGGGTTGATATGGATAGTCTGTTGACGAGGGATCTTACCCCGCTGCTGGAGCACGAGTTCGTCACGCAGTGGGACTGCTACGGTACGTCTTCTTTCATTTCATACACACCATCATATAACGTTGCATGCCCTGGTATTCATGACGATAATGTGGCCCACTGCAGACAAAATATATTCTCCCTTCAACGGCGCGCTCCTCCACTTCCACGCCCAATCACCCTACCTCTGCGAAGCCTTCCACTTAATTGCAACTTCCCCTGCACCGAAACCTTCCTCGACAGACTGGGGCTCCCTCCTCTACCTCAAGCTCTGGCGTCGTCTTGTCCACTCATCCATCCCACCCTTCAAAATCCTACCCTTCTGCTTCAGCGACGGACGCTCATGTCGTCTCGATAACCGACTGCCGGACCCTTTCGAATCGGATCCGAGTAATGGGAAGTGGACACAGGGGTTGGGGAGGGAGGAGGGCGGCGGGCTGGACGGGGTACTGGGGAAGACTTTTGCGGTGCATCTACATAATCAGTGGGAGAAGGAGTTTCCGGTGGGCGGGTGGGTTAGGAGGTTGTTGTTGAGTAGGCATGATAATATTCTGAAGGGAGAGGAGGCTGGGAGGGATAAGAGGGAGGAAGGGGAGTTGTGACTTGTGACTTGTGGGTGTTTAATTTGGTGGGCTGGAGTTGATGACGACTTGTATTTATGGGAGACTTATGGACATTGGCGGCTCAATCTCAATCATACCGATACCATATAATGCACTTGACGCTCATCATGGACCTCGACCTTGCAGCACTCTTGCGTGACAAGGTCGCATACCTTTAGGATTGCCTTTTCTGCAAGTTTATTCTACCAAAATAGGGCTGGGCATTTTTTTTTGTGGACAATCTCTGCCGCAAACAACGAGCTTCAAACTTAAGAATCACACCATAAACAGTGAAAATGCAATAACATATAGGACCATAGGGGACGAGTATGTGTTGTAGTCCAAGGTCACAAAGTCTGAGAGCCGTAGAGTAAACCCGACGCCAGGAGACATAAGGCTAGGTCAAAGTGAAAGGGAAATCGTCCGGCTATTAACTATAGATTAGAAGATGAAAATGGGGGAAACTTGAAGAAAGGACACCATGTGGAGAAAGTCTGACGGTCTGTAAATACGTAGAGAAAACGGTCATGATCGTCTCTACATTCTGACGGACATCTCGATAGACTTTGAGCCCAGCTAACTAAATTGTCCTCTTCCTCGAAGTAGGGGTAACCTAGGCCGTTCCCCCAAACCGCTCAATAACTTCACCTGGTACTCTAAGAGGCTGCATCTCAGCGCTATTGTTGGACACGGTTGCCTCGGATGAAGATTGAACATTTGGCCGTCTTTTTGGCACCCGAAGGACACCAATATCCATTGCCACTTCCTCAACGAAACTCGCCATTCCTCCTGCTTTCAAATCATCCTCCATCACAGGATAATGTTTGTGTATTCTGTCTCTGAAAGAAGGAAAGAGCCCACTGACCCCAAACGGGGAGAGTGGCTTTCCACCTGAAAGGAGCCAGAGTTTAGCATCGGTCGTCGATTGTATTCAGCGTCAGGTCTTAAACAGACATACCAAAGAGCACAGCCAGAAGGCTTCTGCCGAATATGACGAAGAATATACCGTTGACGACGACGTGAATACCACCAATGGTGGATATGATTTTGAGTGCTTCTCCTGCGATCGAGGTGTGAACAATTTCTTCTGATATGATCCACTCCGTCGAAGCAGGAAGTGAGGTATTCAGATTCATCGACGAAGTATTTGACGCAAATGTGCTGATATCCGGGGAGTTTGTGCCTACAAACTTCGATAAGTAAATCGGAGGAATGCCTCAAGAGAAAGGGAGGCTCACGTGGGGTATAAGCGAACCATTTTGTTTTCCCATACTCTCTCTTCGTCACTGTTACCGAACCTACTACATGCGTATTCGGTTGGAGAGTGAATGGGCTTGTGTAGTTACGGGCGACTGGGAAAACTTCATCCTGCTTGCCACCGATGGAACCAAGTATCCAAACAGATAGAGGCTCATTTCCGATATAAGAGAGGTATAGACAGTCTATGGTAGAGTACGGGGGAAGCGACCAATTCGCCGTGGTTCCGTTGCAATCGTTAGGGGGTTTACTGACACCATTCAATTGAATAGTGATCTTTCCCTCCAATTCGCTCGAAGTTGTTTCCTAAAATGAGTAGAGGAGGACAATTTCAAAGCAGTTCAAGAAAGTCAGACTCGGGAGTGCACAGGCAAAATAGGAAGAGATAATTTATACACGCACTACGAATATATCGGAGACATCGTAGCCGAGGTAGACCCACTGTTTAATGGTTTCGTCCCAACCGGACGCATCGATGGAAACCAGTGACCTGTTGATAGTGCTTGTACTGCTTGCCGTTGTTTGCTGCTGGTAAATGAGGAAAACTAGGTAGCCTAGGAGTCCTAGTGTGGCCCACATTGCGACTAGTCCGCGCACAATCCCTAGGAGAGCAGGCTCGAATCTATTGTAGCGAAGTGTCAGTTACATCAGGACTCGTGCTCGCATGACAGGTATTAGTGACACAAGGGCTTACGGGTGTTTTCGAAACAAGGAATATCTAAAGAAGGCTTGAGTGCATTTCTGCTTGACTGCGTGCTTCTCCTCCTCGCTGCGCCGCCTTCCCGCAATCCATCGTAAGGGCGCTGAGCCTCGAGGTCTCGGCGACGATAGTGTTGTCTGCGTTGCAAAGAAGCGTCTGAATGGATGGCCATCGATCTTCCAGTTTCGACAGGACATGGTGAATAAGTATATGACATAGAGGCCCCCGACAACCCTCGGGATCCAGAGTGTAGTATAGAAGAATGGGTATGAAGCCCAGGCGAGTTGCTGCCAGACATTGAGGTCCTGTGGCAGGTCAATGTAATAGTCGGCATCCCACCAAGAGTCATCAGAATCGACTACAAGTAATTTTTTGTAAGCCGTAAATGTGCACAGGAGTCTATGCGAAGGCAGAGCTCACCAATCGTGCAGAGTACGATCAAGGTTCCCACCAGAGCCACATCGATGGCTATCCACAAGATGGCAGGCACTCGTCTATGCAGAGTGATCCAGTCACTGAAAATAGGGTCATAGCTGTAAGAGTTGTCACGAACGTAGAAAATATATCTGAACGACTCACCAAGCTAACAACAATAGAATAATCACAAGTAATGCGGCACCAAAGACACTTTGGATATCGGCAAATGTGAATGCGTACACAACGAGGACAGGGTAGATGACTAGAAGCATGGTGTGGAATCTCATCCGACACACTAGCAAATTACAAGATAAGTTGGCGTATTCATCGAAGTCTGCACTAAATTCGGTAGTGGACATGATTGGAGGGCTTGAGCGTTGGAAATGAAGCCGCAGAGAGACAGCATCTCTATTATATACGTCCAGAACAAAACAGCGCTTTTTGTTGAGTTATAAGTTATCTATGAGTTCGATGTCAGGACACAGCAATGGTGATTCAGACCATAATAATGTTAGCGGCTGGGGGCGTGACATAGCTTTGTAAGAGGGACAGCCAAGTTGACTGCGTCCTCTCTCTCCCTCTCATTCTTGTGGCTTGCTCCGACAGTATCGGACTCTGTTCGCACGGCTACGAGGAAAAGGAAGCTCCCTTATAGGTTCTAATGGACATAGCGCACAACACAAGTCTCGTCGTTATGGATGCAGGTTCTCCATAATACGACAAGACGTCGAACCTGTGGAAGATAACGAGATTACTAGAATGGACATCAGGATTGCGGTGGCCCCTCGGTCACGCATGCATAGCTCTAGAATTCATCACACAGTGCTGCTTCACAGTATTCTTCCACCACCAAGTATAAGTGTCTTCCTTACCAGGACAGAGAGAGAACTCCAGTACACTGATGTCTTCTGTGAGTTTGTTGGAGTGTCAGGTTTCTTGCTTCGCTGACCGCAGCAGCGCCTCGAAGCGTACGTAGGCATCAGGAGAAGCATCGGCTTGATGCATTGTGGCGTCGACCTAGCTTTAGATATGTTTTCACGCAATAAGAGTCACAATGGAAAAAAGAAATGCAGACGAGCCTTGGGAAGGTAAGTACGTTGATCTTGTACTGAGATATTTGGGGGCCTTGAGGTCAGATCTGGGCACAAAATGAAGATTTGGTCCTCTGTGCGTGCATCTGGCGGGCCCTCCAGTCTCGCCGTCACTGTCGTGGGTACGTCATCGTCGAACCTCCGAGGTGGATGGGATCTCTTGGGTGATTTGCCAGCCCCGGTGGAGATGGTCATATTGCGTCCTCTATGGCTTTACACCATGTTGAATGACTTGACGAACTGAGGCATAGCAGTCGGATTGTCGCTATCGGAACTCCCGGAGGACATGAGTAGTATCAAACTTTGTTGATGTTGATGGTGTCGGACTTCGTCCGTAGGAAATGCATCGCTAGGCGGGAAGTAACGCTGTACAGGTATTTTTGAATACGGTCGGGTTGTGACAGAGAGTATATAAGTATGTCACGCACTGCCAGTGGCGTCGTGAAATCTGCATACTCGAACATAGAAATATTGAGGTGATATGAGATCCCGTTGCCTAGAGATCCCAGGAAAGCCAGGAAAGTTACTGTGAACCGAGGACAATCCTAAAAAGCATCGGTTTCAGGCCGAGGATCAACAAACTTGGCTGCGATACTGATACCCGCAGAGAAGATCATGTATAGCAATGATGAGCGATGTCGAGAGGTCCAGCTGAAGGTGATGGATGGATTCAGGTTCAGTCTCCCAAAGGCAACATCCAGATCGACGCCGACTCGGGGCAAGGATCATCTGTGACTACTTACCTCAGAAAGCCTTCGTGTACCGATAATTATTATTTGCCACGGTCAGCGATCAAGTATGGAGAGGCCTTTGGGTACGGGAAGGGTCACAAAACGATCTCAAAGCAAGGATGATTTGCGCCTCAATTCTCAAGTTCGCGTTTACCCGCAAGTTGTGCCACCCGTCGGACAATAGATTCCCACGTGTGCAAGTGCCACCGTTTGCCATCGTACATCTCGAATAAATATCACTGTACATCTCACCACCAACACCAACAGTCAATAAAATGACCATGTCTTTCCGCCACGTTTCCCGCTCTCTTCGTTCTCTGCACTTCGCCAAACCTTCTAACTCTCTCCGAATCGTCCCCTCCACCGCCGCTCGAACCCTGCACACAACCCGACCCCTCCCAAAAGATCCCTGGCCGCTCCCTCACAGCCCAGAACACCTCGCCTCAACAACAACACCCTCCGACATCCCGCCCCCAACGCCCCTTCCACGCCCAAACGAATCCGTACCGACCATGCGCGCGAGGCTAGTCTATCAGAGCCGGAAAAGGGGAACACTGGAGAGCGATTTGTTGTTGAGCACGTTTGCGAGGGAGTGGTTGGGCGGGATGGAGGAGGCGGAGTTGAGGGAGTATGATAAGGTTTGTTGGGCCTTCGCTGTTTGACTTGTGGTGTGCTGTAGCTAATGCGCTGGCATTACTCTCTGTTCCTGTTCGTCTCTCGTCCTTGCCTACCGCCCGCCTGCCCATAGCTCCTAGACGAACCAGACTGGGACATCTATTACTGGGCAACGAAGAAAAGGGCACCTCCGGAACGTTGGGCTAATTCCTCGGTACTGGAGAAACTCGTCGTACACGCACGGAACGAGGGCAAGGCGGTCAGGAGGATGCCAGACTTGAACTGAAGACTCACGAGCTAAGGGAGTTCTTTTGGTTTGACTCTGCACGGGTTTCGAGTACTGTGTAGACAGAGCCATCGTACGCCTATGTGCTGTCGTATATGAGTTCTGGATGCTTTTGCTTATCCCTATGTCGTTTGACACTCGGAGTATAACATCCAAGAGCGCCACCGCCACATAGCCATATACTAGTCTTGTCCAATTCGGGAGGTTTTGGCGGGCCGACCCCCAAAGACCATATATGGAAATTCATGATAACGCGAAAGCCCTGATCTCATCTAAGCGAAGCGATAACTATGGGGGGCGCAAGAGGCGTTCACAGACTTCGTGTCTTCGTCTCGTCTCGTTTCCATCCCTGTTCTGAATTTTCTCTGAGTAGAGGTGTCCCTGTATCTCCTATAACCATAGTCTGGTAAATTTCACATCATGTCTCGACTCGTTACTCTTACACGAATAAGTATACTAGGCTATGGTAGTACAATGTCGACCTCGATGCTAACTCAGGCCCAGCAACTTTCTTGAGTTCATACACTCAATGGCGTTTACAGAACCAGCCTCACGATTTGCGCTGGATTATGTTCATCCTCTTATGAATATATGTGGCAGGCTAAGTATCTGCAAGCGAGGCTTGCGCTTCTGCTCCTTTCCGCCACTGTGGCCCCTGATTATTGTGGCATTGCTTGCCCACCTCTGTATGCGCCCGCTCTCAGGCTTCGCTCACGTCGGTCGTTCTGAGTCTAAAATGCCTTGAGGCGCAGGAAAATCTCCTCGTATATTAGCTCACTAGGCCCTTCGCGGAAGAGAACATCGAAAAGTTACATTGATCAAGTGGGGTTTGCAGCTTCTGCAGACGAAGAGTGCATTTGAAGCTGTCATAAAAAGAATCCTGCCTCGTCAATTCAGTATAGACATCCCGAACAAAAATGGTGACGATGAAAAGGATGGAATAAAATATGGTACACAAGGAGCAGAAACGAAAAACCTGCGCAACTCGGCCGTGCCACCATTGCGTGTGGCGCCGAACCGAGAGATACGATGAGACCCAGGAATTTCCTTATATGGTCTTTCGGGGTCGCCCCGCCAAAGTCCCAGTAATTGGAACAGACCTTATATAATGATTTCTTCTTCATCGCTTATATAAGGTCTGGTTAGAGACTAGCCATATACGCTCGACGGAGAATTACCTTGCTTGCTTAGCAAGGTCTTTCCAACCCCCGTAATTGTGGCGCGTGTTGAGGAGCAAATAAGGCCAAACAGCGTGGCGAATGTGGCGCCCATGTTAGCGCCTCGATATCTGGGACTCTGGACGCTGATATTGTCATTTATCTAAATGTCCGCATCATGATTGATCCAGGAGGCCGTTTACGATTACTGTACGTCTCTGCAGTTAGGCGACGGCGCGACAGGATCACATGATCCTGGGAAGGAGGGATGGGTGGCGACACCTCCTTGGGGCAAGGGGACACAGGCGACAACTCCTATCAGGGCGCTGCGTAGTCAATTTTGCCTTCACGCACCATCTATCCAATCATTGATAGTCTTTTGGTCTGCTCAATGCTCCGATGATTAGCTCGCGCAACTTTCTCTTCAACCTAATGTTCTGGAACTACTCAAGAACTGCTCTAGATGCCATTCCCTTCGTGTTGGCTTCACCGGTGTCATAGCCATCTGACAGGAACTGGCGACAAGAAGCTTTGTGTATCCAATGACACTGCTACTGCTCATATGGTTACATGCTAACTGGGGCAACATATCTGTTCTATGCTCAGCTGGCAAGCGAGAGGACGGTGATGGCGATTTTTTGCAT